ATTTTGACATATAAATGATATACTTTAGGCAACCAGTTGCATAATGTTGAACATTATGAAACTGGATACAAAAATTTAATTGTCACCAGTTGCAAAAAGAAAACAAATAAAAATAAACATTTTTGGTTTTAAAATCAATATACATTCCTAGACAACACACCAAATCCCAGAGATATCCACAGAATATCTTTTGTGGATATCCAATATATCCATAGGATATCAGAAATATTCCGTGGATCTAATATGGATATCCAAATGTCCGTCTATATCCAGAATATAGAAGATATCATATGGATATCCAGTAAAATATCTAATGAGTATCTTCCAGACAATACAAGAAATCCCAGAGATATCCACAGAATATATTCTGTGGATATCCAATATGGATATCCAACCAAATGTCTGTCTATATCCCATGATATAAAAGAATTCGGATATTCAGCAAAATATTTTATAGGTATCTTTAGTAGAGGCACAGTTTATAGCTAAAGAATCAGTTCGCTCACTCTGCGTCGGCACTTTTGATCTCAATGTTCCAGTTTATACACTGCGCAACTCGGATTTGTATCCCTGGCGCATACAGAATCAATTCATAACCAATACAATACATGACAACCGCCTATATTTAAACAGCATTCTTCTGCGCATCCTGAATTTGTATCTCTGGAGTGGATATTATTTTGGAACATCCAATTGGTCCGAGTGAGCGAACTGATTCTTTTAAGCTATAAACTGTGGTAGAGGTTCATAAGTAACCAATGATTATTGAATGAAGTCGAAAGAAAATAGCAGAGATAAAAAATATTTTCAACACTCAAAATATTTTCAACACTCTGCCTTTGATTTTGTCCACTAAGGAGAAAGTTATCCTTATTAGGACTTTTCAGCAATAAATGGAAATTCTCGACTCCAGTCTCTAATGGAGTCTGATTGTGAAACAAATTTCGATCGAATTCAATTACGGCGGGTTGAGCATGAGTAGATGCGAAAGTAGTATCGCCATCTATACTTAGTAAGCAAAATCAAAAATTACAGCTAGTGGATATCCACGATGGTTTGCGTTCGCGCCTAGACTTTGATATATTTAGTGGATGTCCATGGGATATTGAATACACCTTAAAAAAATTAATTTTAAATATCTGAACGGTACTATTAGCCACAATGGCGAGTACAATGGCGTAATTTTTTAATAATTTGCTATATAATTACTATTATTTATGAACATTTGCATGTCTATAAATTACAGCTCATGGATATAAAATAGATATCCACCATGGACTGGACATTCAGTGGATATTGGGATGTTCAGTAGATATCCAAAGGATTTGATGTGCTGTCTGGGTTATTATTGAAAGTTTATATCAAAGAAGAGCAGGTTGACTTATAAAAATAGAATTTGGTTAAACTTACCTCCTATTAATAATGTTGTTTTGGTGTTTATCAGAGCTGGGACGAATCCTCAAAAAATAGCTTCGAATCACGAATCCGAATCACCGGATTTGATTCGAATCACGGATCCTATGTTCGAATCCTTTTTACAAAAAAAAAGGATTAGAAGTTAGTTAATATTTTCATTGTAGCAACACGCAAGTAACAACAGCTCTACGAATGTGTAAAATTGTAGTGGTAAAAATAGCGATATCTAAATTAAAGTTTGTACCAGCCGAAAGAGAATCTCCCGAGGAATAGTTTTATGTAGAAGGTATGTGCAATTTTATTTAATGCAACTGAAAATAATTGATTTAAACCTTCCCATAAAAATTGAAACAACGTGATAAGATAAGGTGCTTGGTCCGTAGTTAGTATATTTTAAAAACAAACAAACCAGTTTTTCGAATTTAAAATTTATAAGACATTGTCAATAATTACTGTGACAAGTAAAACTGTCGGCATTTCAAGAGACTATGTCTGAAGAAATGACAATAGCTGACTTATATAAAAAGCTCATATCTGCTCAACAAGTCCAAACAGAAGAACTAACTAAAGAAATTCAGAGTAGTAAAGAAGAGTTGACAAAACTTAAAAAAACAAACATAAAAGTAGAAAAATTACAAACTAAATATTTATACTTGGAAAGGAAAAGTCGTAAAAACAATATCATAATTTTTGGTTTACATGATCAAAATAAGGATATACTAAGCTTTGTAATTGATACATTAAATTCCTTATTTGAAATAACCTTTAGTGAAGCTGTTATTAAAGATGCCTATTTCATAGGACGCAAAGACGACAAAAAAAGGCTTGTTTATTGAATTTATATCGAATTTTCTAAAAAATATTCAGAAACTTCGTGGGAAAAACATTTCAGTGGTCAACGATCTATGTCCACAAGATAGAGACAATAATAAAATACTCGTTAGACATTTACGAATTGCAAAAAGTCAACAGAAAGAAGCTAAAATTAAAGGGTTAAAATTGATAGTTGAAGGGAAAGAGTTCTCTGCTCATGACTTAGAAGATTATGGTTCAGATAGTTACTATAGCAGTGAAAACGAATCAGATGTAGAGGAAGATGAAAAACCAGAAGAACTTGAGCAAACGAAAGAGCCTGATCAAAAAACTCAAGCTCATAAAAGAAAAGAGCCGATTCTGCTTCGTTTCGGAGCTACAGGGTGTCAAAATTAAAAAATGTTTTCTAAATCTAAAAAACTACGAGAAAGATTTATATGAGATTTGGGCAATTAGAAAAATCTAACCGGAGGTTGGAACGACTATGATGCATAGTCTAAATTACATTAAATTTTGCTGCTGTACAATCACTAATCGTTCCTCCAAATTATACACAGCCTTATTCAGCGAGTCTTGTAATTCTTCCAGCGTTATTGATCGAGTTCTAAATACCATTTTATAGCTCCACAGCTAGTAATCTGCTGGGTTAAGATCAGGTGATCATGAATTAACAAAAAGTCTGCTTATATATCTAAATCGTGAGAATTATGTTTGACACATCAGCAGTTGACACGATAACTTTTTATTTCCATAGATACAGTAAGCAACTAGATTCCATTTACTTTTTTCTAATAGTTTGATTCCATAAAAGTATATAAGACTTTGAAGTATACTCTATACGTGACCATCGTGATGTAGAAGCCGTAACCTTCAAATCGTGACGTCACGAGAGTAAGTCGACAACTGTTACTTACCTTGAAAGAAAAATCGAGCAGTCTTGCTCTGGAACATACAAAATTATTAAAATTCAATACATCATTGTTACTACAAAACTCTCAAAATGTGCCCTATCCCAAGCTTTCAGATATCTTTGTCTTTCGTCAGGATGTTTTTTTTTAAAGGATATGTAACTTGGTTGCTTATGAAAAATAGTTGGCAATACATCCTTTGTAAGCTTGGATATTTTCTAGGCGGCAGCACTAACATTGTACATTTAGGGTTGCCACCCATCCTTTTTTGAAAACGACAGTCTTTTTTTCAAACAAATTGTCCTTGTGACTTTTTAAAGCAAGCTCAAAATGTCCTTTTTGACGGCACATGTCCATTTTTACAGCACATGTCCTTTAAAAATATAAGCTGAGGACCATTTTTTTTAGAAGCTCGCCAAAATACTTTAACCAAAGGTGGCAACCCTATTGTATATCATCTTTCTTCATAGAATCTTCCGTTATTACATAGCAATCTACAATGTGTTTTTCGCAAAACACATATGCTTTTGTCACAACAAAGGACTTGTCACGATGGATACCAGATATCATTTCCCATCATCGGGAAAGAAAAAGTGAGATTGTGGCAGAATTTTTATAGTTGGTCTTACATTAGGAGAAACAACACAGCGGCATTTTTATATTTATAACTTCAAAATAGCAACAAAAAGTCGTAAACACTGATTTATATATTATTATAATTTTAACAAACAGAAAACTGCGCTAATGCACATATTAAAGCTCACAGCTGAGTTGTTAAACAAATTTTATCAGAAAAAAACATTGTTTTTGTAGTAAATTTACTTAAAAAGGCTAAAAACTACTTCAATCAATTTCTCAAACAATGTACAAGACTTATAGGAGATTTAAACCAAATTTTATTAGAAAGAAACAGCAAGTTAAGAGTTATGTTTAGTAGGTACGAATGGTATAAGCCGATTTACAAGACTTAAATCACACAACGGAGTTGTTAAACAGAAAACCGCAAATTTAATAGATAAATACAGGGATAAACAAAACATAGATTACTTGTGTGACGTCACACTGCCGCATCTGTCAAATAGTTGGGAAACTATAGGTTCTTTCGTTCGCTGTTGGTGCAGTGTCCACCAGTGTAAATTATACCACCTTATTTACCTGATCTACTTCCTCCTTTTTTCTTATCCACATGTCGAGTGTAATTCACTCCTGCAAATAGCTGGTGGAGCAAATATCCACCAGTGGACACCACATCGCCAACAGAAAGGTGTAGTGGCTTTACACCGGGCCAAACGAAAGGTTTAGTGTCCGTTGGTGTAGTTCATTCCTTCACCACTGGGACGAACGAAAGAACCTTATATCATGATGGTCACGCCCCATATTATGGGAAAATCAAAAATCTTTGTCTTTATTTTTAAAGCCTTTAAGTAGGTTACAAAATTAGTTTAATCTGTTTATTTCTTTTATTTAATTTTGTATCTTTATCGATTGTTATTTTATATTTTTATTTCAATAATATAATTTTGTAAACTTTCTGACTTGCCCAATAGCTTTTGTAAGTTCCTAACAGATCAATAAAAAACTAATTAAACATGGTGCCATTTGCTATGTATAGGTGTTTGTGGAAACTCTTGAACTATCCTTGTTTTTAAGCCTGCTACTATAATACTGGCTACCACTTTACTTTCATATTTGGTTTACAATTTTGAAGAACAGAAATGCATGATAAAGATTTCCTATTTTTATATTTTATTACCTAGTTCCGTGTTGTAATATATCGTCAAGAGGTAAAACATACTTTTTTTCATACATCAAAATATGTGTACAAGGCCGATGATATTATTTATATGTCAAATTATATTTCAGGTATTATTTGAGCAGATTCAAAGATACAACTAGACAAGGAACAATAGATCTGATGTTAGGTAAGTTATGATATGTTGTTTTGTTATTTTTATTAAAACTGTAAAACGTTCAGAATGTTTTTTAAAAATCCGACGTTTGACCAATATAGATTTTATGGTTATTATCTCAAGCGCGACATGAAGAATGCTAGTAAACATTTAAAAATTTTCTAGGCAACTACGTACCTGAAGACATATTCAACGAAGCCAAAGCAACCCAATTCGAAGAAGACACAGTGACTGCGGAGCATGTTAAACTGTTAATCGAAGATTGTAAGAAGATGCTCATCAACCAACCCGAGTTGGTAGTAGGAGCGTGGGGCCTCATTAACGCCGATCCCGTAGAAGGGGATCCAAACGAAACTGAAATGGATTCGATACTTATTCTAACGAGAGACTCCTATTTTGTAGCTGATTATGACGACCAAGTCGACAAAGTTACCGATTACCAAAGAGTTTTGTTGCAAGACGTTACCTTTCTGGAGTTCGGTATGGCCGAGAGTAACATCTCTTTGTTCAAGACGTCCAAACATAGATACAGCATTAGGATTAATTATAAAGTTAACGACGTCAGCGGATACTACCACATGTTCAGGTCGACGAATTTTAGGTTTTTCAACAATTTGGCGGTCGTGGTTAAGAATGCCGAGGAAGAAGTTGGTAAGTTTCTTTTATCAATGTTGATTTATAACAACATGAACCCTGTAGACATTAATAACATACAGTGAGCATCATAAGTCTTACCCCCCTATCTAACTCGTTACGAAGTCTTGTTAGGAACATCGCCGAGACACGTCGATTTTTAATTTCTACAATGTACATTTTTGTATAGTTTACTCTTAATTTCATCCCTTACTGGAGGGGAGCAACCCTTTCGAAAAATTTAAATGGCATGGGGCGGTGAGTGATAGCTCATTTGAAAGGAGGGTTTATTCTTCATTCAACCGTGCAAAAAAATTTAAAATTTGCTTCATTACGTGTTAATTTATTAATGTTTAAAAATAACAAAACATCACAAACAGAAAAGCAACTAAACTAACTTATCTGTTATTACAATAAATATTCAAAATGTTCCCCGTTGACCTTCTGGCAAAAATAAAGTCTATTTTCAGTTTCAGCCCTGACGCTTTGCAAAGTTTCTCGAGTAATTGTTGCACACATTTCTGTAATCCTCGTTCGCAACTCCTGAATAGAGTGGCAATGAGTCTCGTATACTTTCGATTTTTAGGTAACCTCATAGAAAAAAGTCTAAAGGGGTTAGATCTGGTGATCTTGGAGGCCATTCCACAGATCATCGGCGCCCGATCCATTGTCCCGCATAAAAAGTATTCAAATAATTCCTCACAGCAACTGCAAAATGAGGAGGAGCTCCATCTTGTTGCAAAATAATTTCCATGTCAAATTCGTCTACATTATTTTTGACAGTTGCCACTATCAGTGGATCTATCACTGTTTCCAGCCTTTCCATATAGTGGGCACTAAACAAATTTTCCTCAATAAATAACGGACCTATAATGTAGTCAACCAGTATTCCTGCCCACACATTAACTTTTTGTGGAAACTGAGTATGAGTTTCGCGAATAAGTCGAGGATTTTCATTAGACCAGTACCTCACATTTTGTCTATGCATGTGACCGTTTAAAAAAAAGTAGCCTCATCACTGAAACAAATGTTTCAAATAGCTGGGATTTTGCAAAATATTATTAGATATAATTTCACAATATTCTAGACGGCGCGGCGGTCTGGGTCATCCTCCATCTTTATTTTATAGGGATGAAATTAATTTTTTTTTCAGAACTCTCAATACAGTCATCTGCGAAATCTCATAATTCAAGACAACAGTTCTACTCGATGCGGACGGATTATTCACAAATTCGGCTATAATATCCACTTGTTTATCTTCCCCAGTAGTTGATCGCCCAGAACGTTTTTTGTTTTGCACACTGCCGTTTTCATAAAATTTTTCCACTAACTGTTTGAAATAATGTGTATTAATAGGGTGATCTGGAAAACGTTCATTGAACATTCGTATAGCATCATGATATTTGCGATAAGCCTCACCAAAAATAACAATCGCTTCGCATTTCTCATTTAACTCACGTAGTCCAACCATTGTATGGAGATGAATAGCAATCAAAACTTACAGCTAGAATACACTGACTCGCACTCTCCTTGATATCAGTTTATTGTTTTGACCATTTATCCTCAAAACAATGCAAAAACATCAACAAAAACGTGCAGTTAATATCCAATCATAATGGCAAACAGTCTTACTTCACGTCTGAACCAAAACCAATATCATGCAGGGCCGAATTTTTATTCTAAGGATGAGTGTGCTCCGTTAATTTTCGTTATTCTGAAACAATAATTAGTCGATAATTAATGGAGCAAATTTCAATTCCTTTGCACGGTTGAATAGAGAATAAAACCCCCTTTCAAATGAACTACCACTCACCACCTCATGCTATTTAAATTATTCGAAAGGGTTGCTCCCCTCCAGAAAGGGATGAAATTAGGGGTAAACTATTCATACAAAAATGTATATTGTAGAAATCAAAAATCGACGTGTCTCGGCGATTTTCCTAACAAGACTCCAAGTAAGACTTATGATGCTCACTGTATAATCTCAGCTCGTTATTTCTCATACATACCTTTGGGCATCATCCTCACAGCTTCAACAAAGTTACATCACAGATCCAGAGTGTTAGGAGCTAGGCGATGATCATCTGCATTATATTTCATATATATTTATTATAGGGCGCCGCCATGTTGGTCAAACTTGGGATTGAGGAGTTTGCGCACTAAAATAAATTCAATTTCATGTGTCATTATTATTTATCGTTTTTCTAATTTATTTATTAGTTTTTTATAAAAAATTGAGTGTTTTCTGGTATTATTTTTGTCATTTTAATATGACTAAATCGCCTTTAGTCTGGAATTGTGATAGTAGAGATAACGTGCCAGGAATTACATTTCACAGGTAAAATTTATTGACTTTAACAGAGTCGTACTATAAACATCAAGACAAAAAAAAACAAACATTTAAAGCTTCTGTTGAGAAAACAATGTGGTACTTTAACAATTCATTCAACAAATGCAATAAAAGTTTGTAAGGAAGTCGAATTAATGTTGAGGAAAGTGTTTTTGTTAACAAATAATGAAATGCCACCTGAAAAAAATTTTTATAGCCACATTTATTTATTCAATTCATTCGAAGTTGTTACTAAGCAGACATATTTTTAATGATCTTGCAAATCACAATTTGGAATATTTGACATTAGAAGAAAATAATGTTTTAAAATTTATTAAGACATTAACGATGTGCTATTTTAAAATAAGATTGTATAATTTTGCAAAAGTTATCGCATGCAAGGGAAACCTGTCAGAAAAAATCTTTCTAAATTAATTTTATTCCACCACCAATAAATCCTTAAAATAGTTATTGTACTTCATGTATTCCATTTATTCTATATTATAAGATAAAATAAATTCAGTGTTCTTTAACAATAGTGCTAAAATTATTTTGAAGATAAAAGCATAACTTTTCAATACCTTGATTATCTCCGGTAAGCAATCGGTATAATTAAAGAAATTATATCTCTATGGATGCAAATAAACTAAAATGTACAGTGAAGTTCAAATTCGATGAGTAAATGTACCATTTTTAAAACTCTTAACAATTGCAATAATACCCAAGTAGAATTAAATATAACAATTTTTTATCTCTGCTGGTTTTCTTTGGACATAATTCAATGCCAGTTGCGGTATTAGCGAAAGGAGTAGTTGTATTTTGTGACACATAACTTTGAGATTTCCTCGTTATTCTTTAATAAATTATTGTTTGTATCTTCAGTTTCCACCGTGGATTCTCACCGAATTTGAACTTCATTGTACTTACTACTGTACATACTGATATTTACTATACAGAGAATGGTCGCACTGCGCAGATTTCTAAGTTTCCTCTTCTGCAAGCTATTTTGGATTTCCCAGTAATTAGGCGCTAACGCTAAATGTTTGATATTTAGATTATTTTGCTTAATCCTGTTTTTAGGGTAACTTTGTTTTTTAATTCATTTGGATCTTTTTGATAATTTTGTTGTTCTAAACATTTACAATATACGAGTTGTTTTGTAAGAGCTTACATTAATTTTAGGAGATTTTTTATTTTAGCACTATCGTTTTATGGTTAGGGCTCTTTCAGACACGATTTTGTCCGTACGGAAAAAAATCGTACGGATTTTTTCTGTGCGCCGTTGATAGTAAACTGATAAAATTAACTGCAGCTTTCATACTGGACGGAGATGGATTTTTCCGTACGGTCGATTTGAAAAAAGCCGAGCCAACGACTGGATTTTTAGTCGTCTGCCGTTCGTTGTTGCGTGCAGTTTGGTTTTCGTTTATCATAAATATTTTGTATTTTGGTTTACACGTCAATATGAACATGAACAAAAATATTATGAACTAATATTAAGATTTTGTTTTTTTTAATACATAAGTAATTTGATATATTAAAAAAAATATTATTTTTTGATTTTGTAGATAATAAACTAGTAACAAAACAAACATAAAACTCTTTTACTTCAGTGTCACAGCTATCATTTCCATAGGTTCAATGCAAATTCACATTTTAGTAATCTGCCGCTGAATATTGTCATTTAGCCAGTTATGAAGCTCATCAAAGGATACAATGGACATCCGAAAGTAATTAAAAAATTTATTTTCGTGTGCACCTAAATCTTCCATTAAGAAAATGAATGTGCCTACTTCATCTCTTTTCTGATTAATTGGGGGCACCCAGTATATACGATCATGTCGTCTCCGTACTTTTGTATACGACGGTAAAAAAGCCACATGGCAATGGTGCGCTTTCGATTCTTGTCGATAACCAACCGACAAAATAAAATAGCTAAAGACAGTTCACTGAGTGTGAAATCTACCAAGACACGGAAAAACCGTTGTGTCTGAAAGAACCCTTAAGTTTGACTTGATACAAACGTTTTATCTGTAATGTATTGAAATAATTTTTTCACTTTTAATAAATTAAACACGGTTACTAGTTTTCATTGTTATTTATGTTCCTTCTCACTATAAAATTTTTATGTGATATAGTAAAATAAATATTTATTCTTCACTTTTAATAAATTATAAACACGTTTACTAGTTTTGTTTTTTTATTTTCCTTCTCGCTATAAATTGGTTGAAATTATAAAAAAACCACACATATAAACTAAATACTTTTATTTTGTCCAATATTTCAAGTGCGGACCTGTTTACTACTTTCTGCGCATGCTCGCTAATCCCAAAAGTAAAAACATGGCAGCTCACTACAATAAATTTTTATGGTTTATTGCATTCTAGATCTGTGAGTTACATACTTTATCAATAAATGTTAATCTTTTATTTCTGATTTCTGTTGTTTTCAGAATCCTTGAAGTCCATTTGCGAAGGATTTCTAATTGCGATAGACATCTGCGGTTTGCCGACGATTCCATTCGTGCAAGGCCAAGCCTTGGACAGGCGAAAATCCAAAGTGATAAGCAGCGGTAGGTCTTCTAATAGCATCTACTTAGATATAGCGTCTCTACCGCAAATGACTAGAAACGTTTCCGAAACTCAATTGCTTTCTCTGAAAAATGTCGGTAAGTCAAAACAGAGTCAGTAAACAGTAGTTGGATTTTAGTATACGAGGGTTGCCTTTTATATTTCGGGATTAGAGAACAAAAACAAATATTAATCATCAAAAATCGCTTTATTGTTTTTAAAAATATTGTCCATAAAGATCTATATATTTCTGCATGCGTTTGAACCAATTGTGGAAGCACGTTTGCCACTCTGATTGAGGTATCTCCAAAACATGCATTCTGAACGCATCAACCGCTTCTTCAGGTATCGAAAAACGTTGACCTCTCAGTTTATTGATTACGTACGGGAATAAAAAGAAGTCATTTGGTGCCAAGTCAGGACTATACGGCGGATGACTCATCACATCGACGTTTTGAGTGCTCAAAAATTCAGTTGTTTGAGCCGATGTGTGAGAGCTCGCATTGTCGTGGTGAAGAGTGATCCGTCTTCGGCGGTTGGATTTCCTCATTTCTTGAAAGACAACTGGCAAACAAATGGTTGTGTACCACTCAGAATTGGCTGTTCTAGAAGTACGGTTGCGACATGTACAGTTTTTCCGAAAAAACAGGTGACCATTTGCTTGGAAGTGCTTCGTACGCGAACAACTTTTGTTTTGCCTCATATAGTGCCCATATAGTCGACTGCTGTTTAATTTTTGGCTCATACGATTCTTCATTTGTCATTATGTTATACACGTGTTTCGAAGTTCCGCGATCGTATTTTTTGAGCATTTCGTTCGACCAATGGACACGAGTCTTTTTTTGAACGATTGCCAAATTGTGTGGGATCCAACGCGAACAAATTTGTTTGACAGTCAAATGTTCATGCAATATTGAATGTATACTGGTTCCACTAATGCCTAGGGTTGTCTCAATCTCACGATAGGTCACATGACGATCTTTCAATATCAGTTCGTGCACAATATCAATGGCTTCCGGAACATTAACTGATTTTGGACGACCTTCACGAAATTCGTCTTGGAACAAACTACGACCTCGATTGAATTCACCATACCATAGATAAACACTGGTGCTTGATGGAGCTTTATCGCCAAAAATTGAATTAAGTTCATCGATGCATTGTTGCCGAGTTAATCCACGTCGAAAGTTGTAAAAAATAATCGCACGAAAATGTTCACGATTTAATTCCATTTTTTTGGCCGAGATGAATCTTTTAAGTTACTGTAAACAACACAAAAAGCACTCGTATGTCAAAACATTCTGAGTATGCATGACCTCAAAAATGTCAAACTTTACGACAGAGCAGTCAGTTGCCAGTTTGTAACACTAGGGTTGTCCAATCCCGAAATATAAAAGGCAACCCTCGTAGCACGGATGCTTTTAGTTTATTTTTGTGTAATCTAATAATCGAACGAATTCTTTTAAGCATGTAAATATTTTATTGATTTTTTATTTGTTTAATTTATTAGTCCATACAAACTAATTCAGCTTAATTAGGTACATTTATAATATAGTACAAAAATATAAATTACAAATAATAAGTCTGTATCCATTTTCTTGTGAAATTTTTTCGCAGTTCGAGAAATCTTTCATTTACTTGCATAAGAGTTGATTGGATGGGTTATGTAGAGGATTTTGCGGGTGGGGTATTTTGGTTTTCGTACGCAGGCAGCGACATTTCTCTTAGTGTAGTATAGTAGAATATGTGTTGATATTTCTTATTGCGATAATTTTTTGAGAGTAGTTGATAATGTTTTTATTTCAGGTATTTCCTAGTAAGAATAAATGCCACTTTTTTTAAATAACTTAATTTAAACGATATAAAAACATTTTCATTTCGTCAATCTTCAAATATAAAATGATTAACTTCAAATTAATCAAAATTCGACTCAAGTCGCCATTTTGATTACATTTTTCCATCACTTGAAGTGCGTCAACTTATCATATCGCAAAATAGTGTTTGTCTACTTCATTCTATCTTGATGAATAGATACCATCAATAGGTTTATTAATTTGACAGAATTGTCACTAATTTAAAATTGAAAAAACTGTGATTGGTGGATTCCGTATACATTCCAGAATGAATATGTATGTATCTATGAATATTCTGTAGTTTGTACAGAAAGTAGATAATGTAGAAAAAAGAGTAGAAAATAGTATAATACATTACGTGTTTGAAAAATTACTTTTACACAAGTGACAATATTTTTCTTATGACCACAAAATAATTTTATCAAAAAAATGTAGAACCAGGAAATCTGGCTATAAAGGTTCAATCAAAATGTGGTTTTAGATTTGTTTTTTTTTGTAATTGTCTTATTGAACAATTTTTATAGTTCTTTGCCTATTATATTTTGTCGAAATTAAAAACGTGATTCATTTACAAACCCTTTCATAACATTAGGCATAAAAAAATATTAGAATACAATAATGTTTTTCATTAGTTATTTTTTTTTAAATACAACATATAATAAGATGAATAACCGTGAACAAGAACTTTTTTATTATTAAAGATGATTACCTACTGAACTACTTTTTTCTGAACATTAATTAAAAAGTATAAAATAAATAGCGAAAAGATTAACTGTAAATGTAAATAGATAAATAAAATGTAATTATTTAAAATAAATAAATAATAGTCGTAATTTTTTAATGTTAGTATTTTTCTAAAATAAAAAATAAATTGTTTGCATCGGGGGGATTGAACTCGTGTCGCGATGTGGTCAAAACATGCAAAGTTGATAAAGTTTAGCGCTCTGTAAACTGTGCTTACAAGCTTGTCACATTAATCATCTAATCAAAGATTAACAAAAAAATCTAAAAATAATGTTATTTTAAAATTATTTTAATAATTTGTTAAAAATAAATATCTAGAATCTAGGTATATAAATCAATATTCACGATTTAATCATCAAATCTATTTTACTATTAATATGAACATTACGTAGATCAAAATATTTTCCTACGACCACTTAGGAAAGTGACACATATCACACGCGTATGAATAAGAATTTACTTTCCACCCGTGTGCGAATATGCTACTTTCCGCATCAGCTGTCACATAATGTCAAACGCATCATTTCTATTTTGATCTATGTAATGTCCATATTAATACTAAAATCGATATGATTGTTAAATTATTGAAATTGTTGTAAATTAGATCCTAGATATTTATGTTTAACAATTATTATTAAAATAATTTTAAAATAACTAAATTATGTTTGCTTTTTATTCTGGTTAAACACATAACCGATTAAGTCATTCAATTGATGAAAGGCCTATTAGCTTAGGTGGTAGAGTATCAAACTTTATCAACTTTGCCATTTCAGACCTGGCGAGCGACCGCGTTCAATCCTTGCGGGGGCAGAATTTTTTTTTTTATTTTTTGTTTTGTTTTTTAGTTTTATAGTTTTTTTTTTGTTTAGAAAATATGAAAATTGAATAAATACGATTATTGTTGATTATTTTTTTAAATACATTTTAATTATTGTAATAATAACCTGGTTTTACATTTTTTGATGAAATTATTTTGTGGTTGTAGGAAAAATATTGTACATCACTTGTGTGAAAAGTGATTTTCCACACTCGTGTAATAGTCGCACTCGGCTTGTGCCTCGTGCGACAATATTTCCCACTCGTGTGAAAAATGTCACTTTCCATACTCTTAATGTAATATACTATTACGCGTTTGACATATTTGACAGTCGAACGGAAAGTAGATATTCACACACGAGTGGAAAGTAGTTTCTTATCCACACGCGTGTGATATAGGGCACTTTCTGTAAGACTAAATAGTGCGATATGTGTCACTTTCCTAAGTGGTCGTAGAAAAAATGCGTTTTAACATTTTAATCCGTTCCTATTTCTTCACACAGTAGTCTGTGAAGTATATAGGTTTACTTTGTCTGTCCGTCGCACTGTGGGCCAGATTCGCCTCAAAACATTGAAAAACTACTGATTGGTTATTTAGAGGGAAAAAATACTAATACGGTGTTTATTTAGAAAACACAATCTGACAATGCAGTTTTTGTATTTATATACAGGGTATACAGTTAAAAAAAGTAAGCTCTTCTTAAAAGTGACCATATTTTCTAGTTGTGAATCCATTTCTCCTCCTATTTTATTTTATCTTGCTACTTACTACAAAAAAAAAATAACCTAAAAGATTGCACATATCAAAAATCCCAAATGAGGCGGAATTGTTTTTTTTATAAATTAATGAAATAAGCAAATCTGTCAAATTGGCATTACTAAAGAAATTAACTAGGCAAAATGTGACTATTTTTATTTAAACATTATTTAAAGTAACAACATGGAATTTGCAAATTATTCGTTCTAATTTTGTGCACAACTTAAATGGGGTTTCTTGTAAACAAAGCCAATTTGATATGAATGTTGTATTATACTGAGAACTAAATAAATGTATTATTCACGTTTAATTATTAGTAATTTTTGATTTGCGTACACGTTAGCGTGTACCTAGCCACAGCGATTAAAATTTGGCATGTGCCCTAGCACGGCGGGTATTGGCAAAAATATTTAATTGCAAAAAGAGGTAAAAGGTTCAAGGAAATTGAATATATGTACCCCAAACTGGAGCTCTGCTAATCTCTTAACTTATCGCTATCAAAAAGTGGATAAATTGTTTAATATAAAAAATATTCAAAACCCATCAGCTCAAATTTAATTATAATTATCAAACTTAAATCTAACTAAATAAAAGCCTTATGTTTAAAAGGTTTAAACTTACCTCCAAATAGTTCAACCATGTTTAATATCAAATACAAAATTAAAACTTAAGTTTTTTGTAGTTAAACTTTCACAAACTTTCTATTAACTTTTGACAAGTACACAGAAATCCTTAGTGTGTTTGACGTTTGCTATATCACTATGAGTAACCATGGAAGCTAAGAGAACAAATGTTGTTGATTTTAGATACTTCAAAGCCTGCTTGATCAGAATCGAGTAACGATAGTGTTAAGTTTGGAAAAAAATAGGGGACTTATTCAATATTTTGAGGTGAATCTGGCCCACAGGTTTTTTGTCCGCACGATAAGTCAGAAACGAAAAAATGATATCAACTTGAAAATATCAGGAAAAAGCAAGCTGTATAAGGGAATTAAGACCTGCTCATTTAAAAAAAATCTGAATAAAAATGGGATGGTTAAATATTAAAAAAACGAAAAATATTATCGACTTGAAGTTTTTACCAAAAATCAAGCTCTATAAGGGGAAGAAACTCTTTGATTTTGAAAAAACATTGGGGGGTTTAAGGGAGGGTGAAATTAAAAAAAAATCATAAATAACGAAAAGCAATATCAACATAAAATTTTTAATAAAAATCAAGCTCTATAAGGGGATGAAATGTATTGATTCTGAAAAAATTTTAATAAAAATGGGGGGGTTAAGTGGGTTAAAATATTTAAAAAAAATCCTAACTCAAAAACGAACAATAATACCAATTTGAAATTTTTGAGAAAATCAAGCTCTATAAGGGGACAAAGCCTATTGATATAAAAAAATCTGAATTAAATTGGGGCCCAGGGGGATTGAAATAAAAAAAAAAAAAAACTAAAAATCAACAACCAAAAGCGATATCAACATGAAATGTTTAGTAAAAAATATCAAACTGGTCATTGAAAACCAACCTTTGAAAGTCTTGGCATTATTTTTGATTGCAAATTACGTTTGGAAGAGCATATTTCATTGTTGGTAAAGAAATCTTATTTAGTTCTTCGTCAATTATATATGAACCGAGGAATTTTCAGTTTTCCCTTATGGAAACTTCTTTGTGAGAGTTTAGTTTTATCGATTATAAATTATGGCTTGGTTTTATTTTATCCTTGTTTAGATCGATTTACTAAATATAGGTTACAAAAAATCGAAAACTCATGTTGCAGATTTATTTTTGGATTAAAAAAGTACTATAGAGTTTCGTCTAAAATAAAACAATTAGAATGGCTCAAAATAGAAAATTTATTTAAATTACAAATGTCTGCTTTAATCTTTCGCATTTTGTCGACTTCTCAACCTGCGTATTTAAAGGACACATTACTATATCGAGGAGATGTAAATAAGTAAACTTAAGATATCCAAACACTCTAACACTACCCAGATTCAATCTTACCATGTTTCACCGTTGTTTTACTTACAATGCTGTAAACATTTACAATACTGTTCCATTGGAAATAAGGACGCATTCTTTGAAACATCTTAAAAGATGCTTAAAATTTAGTTTTTAGCTAATCAATGAGAGCATTGCATTCTGATTACTACCTTATACTTTTATTTTTGTTACCATTTCTTAAATTCATTTTTAATATATATTTTTTTTTGTATTAAATTGATATTGTTCTATATAAAATCAGTTCTGTAAATCAATTTTTAAGTCTTCTAAATATTATTTTGTTTGTAAACAAATTACTTACTGTTTAGAGGTTAAGTGGAGTAGCTTAGCTAGACTTCGTCTCTATATATTTTCATGTATTGTATATTACAATGCAAAATAAAGGCACTTTTTTATTATTATTATATTATTATTAAAAATGCAAACTCAGAAACAGAAAACGATATCAAATTGAAATCTTTTTTATAAGGGATTAAGCCCATTGATTCTGAAAAAAAATCTGATTGAAAATGGGGGCTAAGAGAGTCTGTTAAACTGTGAAGGTGGTGCTACTTTGGTTTGAAAGTTTAACATTGGCGTGGGGTCTCTATAGGATAGGTGCTTTGTGGTGAAGAGTATAATATAGAATGCAAAAAATTATATATTTTCATGCTAGTTGTTACATGCTTAAAGGAATTAATAAGATGTATATTTTTACTAAAATGCAATAAAAAACAAAAAATATATTTTTTAAATCGTTTCTAGGATCAAAGGCTATATCGAACGTTACTCAACAATTTTCAAAGTTGAACAAAATCGGCAACACGTTTAAGACTCGAACGAAAATCAAAGACGGAATAAAAACTAAAACCGAAACTTCTAGCGATTCAGATGAGGAATACGAAAATTCGATTTTCCAACCCGAAGTCCAAGTGGACTCTGGCATTTCGCCTTTGAGCATGGACTCTGCCGATAGCAGAAGTATAGAACAAGGTAGGCATTTTTTTTACATAGATTAGTGGATTCAAACAAATACGCCTTATACAATTTTACCATGGCAAAAGATAGTCCGCGTATTCCAGAATGTTATGAAAAAAAGATCATAGTCTAATCCTTAAAAATATTGTATAAAATTTAATATTAATGAAAAATATTTGTTTAAAATATTGTAAAACCTTATATGGGCGTACTATTCTTGTCTATAGTATAAAATAAAGACGCAATTTAAGTAGTTTAGCGAATAGATTCATTTTCTACAGTAAAAAAAAACAGGTAAAATTTGAAATATTTTTTGACAATAATTTCCCAACAAAAATTATCACGAAATTTATCAGACCAAATGCAAGAAATATGATTTTATTTATTTGATTAAACTTTCTTTTAGTGTGCGTCACATGAGCGATATTTGATGGATAAATTAGATAATAACTTTTTGATGAATTCGTATGGCAATTTTGACTAAAAAATTCAAATGAAATTGTTATACTTGTTTAAATTTGATATTTCCAACTGCTATAGAGACAAACGCCACTAAGCAACCGAGTATAGTTTTTTCAGTTTTCATATTTTGGTACAAATAATCTGTGGTTACTCTATATCCATTCTGTATGATGTTTGAAGTTCTACGTTATATTGCATAAATAAACTTAGATACATAATACTATAGGAAATTTCATTGAAATTTGCGCTACCAAATTAGTTTCTGCGCAGACGAAACTGGCCTTGACCATACGCAGTTTTCACTTCATAAAATCTTGTCATTTATTTTAGTCTTTAGTGGGTAATTTCTCGATATTTCAATTTGTGTTATAGACGCGCAAACAAGTTTCAAATAAAAGTTATATGGATTTAAAAAAAGGCATACTTTTTTTGGATATACAGCGTGTTACGCTTTTGATTCGAAAATAATATGTGTAATTTTAAATTGATTGTCCTATACTTTATTTCAGTTTTAGAATAAAAATAATAAACTTTATTCACCGATAGTAATTACAAGTAATCCTGAAAATAACCATTTGGTGAAAAGGTGCAAGTTCAGTTATAAAATGATCTATCTCTTGAACCTTAAAAGAAAATAACTAAAGCTAATAAAAAAGAGACAAAAGAAAACAAAAAATCCATTAACAAATAAATAAAAACAAATCTAAACCAGTTATTTTTAGAAATAGATTGAAAATAATTGATTGCTGATAACATAACATTATATAACAATTGATTATTATATTGATTTTACGATAATTTATCAAGAATTGTGACATTAGTATATGCCCAATTAGAGTTTCTTTTAGAATCATTTTGTTAATCATTAATATTTACCTTTGTTTCTAGTAAATCACCAATTTTACCTAAATTAAAAATACTATATTAATATACTCAAAATAGTCCAGTTGTTAGATTCAAAAAATAACTACCAGGAGTAATTAATATTTTTTGGAACTTCTAGTTGTTCTTTTAAATGTTGCACTTTTGCGTTTAGTGTTCTTTTCTCCGCTGGATGGTATATTTCTCTTTTCTTTTTCGATCTAGAGTTTCTGCTTCTATTTAGGTGTGATCTTCTGCACTAATTTAGTCCTCGCTGCTGCTGCTGCTACTGCTGTAATTGTCATCACTGTCCGTATTCGCTCCGTGCGAAGTCATGAAAAGGGAAGCAAAAGCGATACTAGCGCTAGCTGCGGATAATTCGTGCATTTTAGGGGGATATTTTGTAATTTTGGCATATCAAATACACGTATACATTTTACTTTTTTTCAAAAAAGTAGGTAAAAACAACACAATAAGCAACCGGAGTTGCTGAGTTGAAAATTGTACAAATACTAGCAAAAAAAAAACAGTGAAACTTATATAACAAATTTCACTAACAAAGTGGAAATTAAATCAAAGAAATAAATGGATAGGTGTACAATAAGAAGAAAAATTACCTTTATTTTTGTGATAATAACAGTAATGCTGGAAATAGTAGACATCAGAAACTAGAAAGTTTTTAAATAAACAATAAATTATCATTTTACGATGTTCTTTAATATCCCTTTATTCTTAAATGTTCATTCAGCAAGGACTAGATTTCAAGATTTCTGCCGTTGATTATAATATTTGGCTGGTATGCAATTTTGTGACTTACTGATCGGAAACCAGTTTTAATCATTCATTCTATGTTTTCTTTAGAACAAAAATGAAAATATAAGTAGCGATCCTTTTTATACATTTTAACTTCACGCTATTATAAATGGTTTCTTCAATGACAACTTATTAGACTTAGGCAACTTCTCATACATTTTCCAGTAAATACTGTTGCCTGCCTATATTTTATTATTGATTTTTAATGATTATACATAATTTTCTTCAATTTAAGCGTGAAAAATATATAAAAATAATAAATTAATGTTTTAATTGTTTTATAAATCCATATACTTTTATTAAAACTAACATATATACTTTTTATTTACGAATTCTATTAAAAATTGTATTTGTCAGTATAGGCAGAAATACTCCTTTAATACCAAAACAAATTGGCGCTGCTGTCGCGCACGGAGCGAATACAATTCTTCTAGATTACATGCTGCATACTCTTTCCCATCAATAATTAGTTTAAAGCCTTTGGTTTTTACTTCTTTCTTTTTGACTTCTTGCGATCTTGAGATGTTTTATCAATATTTTGTTTTCTCTTTCTTCTGGACAAAGATCGTTGGCAACAGAAATACTCCTACCAATAATTTTTTGGATATTTTCAAAAAAAAATTGTTTTTTGAAGAAGGAAATTAATTCAATCAATAAACCTTTTTTATCCTCGCGGCGTCCTATAAAAAATGCATCTTTGATATTGCTTAGAATTAGTAAAAATGAATTAAAATACAAGGTGTTCTATTTAAAAAATATACATTGTTATTTCCCAGACAAAAATACAACTCCCTGTATATCCAAAAATATTTTTAAAACATGTATTTTTCAAATCTATATAACTTTTATTTGAAACTGGTTTGCGTGTCTATAACACAAATTGAAATATTGATCAAATACGCACTAATAGGGCACCCTGTATATATCAAAGCCTTATTAATGGGTGTGCGAACATACAATTAACTCGAAAAATTCAATAATTTAAAAACAAGGATAAAAATACAATATAAAATAAAACAGATCTTTTTTGTAGTTCTTCTGTTCCTGCCCTTTTCTTTATATTAATAATCCACTCCATTTCTAATTAATGAATCCAATCAAACTTCATACATTTTGTATTTCTATTTATAATCCTACTTACTTTATTATTTCATAACAATATCATTTATTTTTATGTTTATTATAATTCATCTACATTATACACATATTTCATTTATCCTCCTATTTTTTCTCTCCTAATAAACTGCTGGCCACTCGAACTTACACAGAGATTTTTTGGCAAAATTTGAAGTTCAGTAGTTTCAACAGGAATGCAAATTTTTAAATGCGGCTTGCAGATTTTAAGAGCTAGTTTTTTTAGGATTAAGCTACATGACGTATATTTATCGTAGGACCATAGGTTTATTATATACAGGGTGATCAATGAAGTCATGCTAAAAATTAAAAAGTTTGTATGAGTGAAATTTCCGCAAAAAATATCACAAAAAGTGTTAGGAGTTTTACAAAACAACTTACAACAAAAACAAAATACAGAATCTTTAAAAATAGAGTACATAAGCCAAATCCTTTCGACTTTTTCTCCATTTGCTAGACTTCTTACAAAGTATTTGTACGAAAACTTTCTCTTATCTTTATTACTAGGAAAGCTAAAATATTCTAGCTATCTCATTGGTGATTTTTTTGGGCCACAAACCGAGGTCGGACGGAATTATATCGACACTAGCCTCAATAAAGCCTTCATCGAAAGTGGCACTTGCATCAGGTATTTCGGTACCTGACATTACCGAACTTCTTACATAAGCTGAATTACCTGAAGTGGATTGTTCAAGTGCGGTAGACGAGGATGGTGTCATCACTTCATCGGGCTCTGCATCAGTAGAAGCTGTTTTGCTGCTACAACCGCCGCCACTTCTTGCAGGACCTGATGTTACTGATATTACGGATTTAGAATCTTGAGATTCGGTCGCATCGATAGTCTCCGTGGAATCTTGATTGTTTTGGAAAAAGTGCTTTAAAGATCCAGCCATTTTTTCCGTTTCTTGTAGTCGCAGTTTCTTTTGCTCGCGAAACTTCGCACCTGAAGGTCCCTTTCTTTTATCCTAAAAAACAAATAAATAATTAGTACCCATGGAAATTAGGAATTAACTTCTAAAGTAAGCACAATAATAAGCACCAAGTTTGCATATTTGAGTAAAAAGCAATTTGTTCGAGTCCTTTTAGCTTAAACCCTTTCAAAAATATAGACAGAGAAAAATTTAAACTAATTTGATCTTATAGCCCTTAAAAAACCCTACAAAATGGTTTTTTAAAAAGATCAATAGCATAAAAACTAAGCGAGTTATGGATAAAAACCAATTACTTTTTTAAACTCGTACATGACATTTCAATTAATAAAAAGATATTTGGGTAAAAAAAAATAATTATAACCAGTATCCTATAAAGGGTTAACGTTGATAGTATAAAGTAGGGAACACTTACCATTTTATAAAAAATCAAACCGTTGAAATTGCAGTCAGCAGGTATTCAGCACTTAATTTTTTAGAAAAAAAGTAGTAAACAAAATATACAACACAACAGTTGACAAAATAAAAATAACTTTAAATGTAAAAATTAATAGGGTTACTTGTTTTTATGCACTTGTTGCACGGTCCAGTGAACTAACTGGCTTAAAAACGCCTCTGGCGATGCATCGCTTTTATAGCGCTCCAGGCATTATTCATGTCTGAATAATAAAACTATGGTCCTACCATAAAAAATATGCGTCATGCAGCTTAATCCGAAAAAAACTATGTCTTAAAATCTGCAAGCCGCGTTCAAAAATTTGCATTCCTATTGAAAATATTGAACTTTAAATTTTGCCTAAAAATCTCTATGTGGCC